AGCCGCTCCTCTTCCGCCTTCTTGGCAAATGCTGCTGCGACAACGGCCTCTTTTGCCAGTCGCTCTTCCTCAGCCTTCTTGGCTTCAGAAGCAGCAATCTCTTTCGCCAGCCGCTCCTCTTCCGCCTTTTCGTTCTTTATTGCAGCAGATTCCTCGGCGTCTTTGGCTTCGGCATCCGCAACCTTCTTGGCTTCATTGGATATTTTGCCCTCGGCTGCCTGCGCCAGGTGAATGATTGAACTTCTGATGTGGTTAAAGCAAGTAGAAAACGCTTATCACAAAAATATCTTCAACAAGAAGAAGCATGTGCGCGGGCAGAATCTGCGTGGCTCAAACAAGTAAGAAGCAGCAATTTCCTGCCATCACAATCCCTCTCATTTCGTGTTGGCCACTTCGCTTGATGACACGACTGGCAACTTCGAGTGTCAAGCAGCGGAACAACTGACCGTCACATCACAATATCCTGGACCGCCACATCCCTAAACAACGAGCATCTTCAAACCACAAACACGAACTCCCAAGGGTTGACGGTCCATGTTGAATTCGGGGTATCTCCAGGGCCCCGAACCCCTGCAGCACAAATCCTGAACCATGAAACTGCATGTCTTTGAACTCGAAGGACGAAGCTGAGCGCCTTATCTGTCCGTGCTGGTGGCTTTTGCATTCCTTAGCTGCATTCGGCCGTAAGATTTACTGCCAAGTTGCTCGCAGGCTTGATGAACTAAATTTGGGGTTCACATGTTCGAAGTGCGTTGGCACTGGAAAGGTCAGGTTCCGGAATGTAGTGCTCCGGAAGACGTCACGTCAGATTCTTGGTGTAGCAGGGTTGAAGGAATCTGAAGCCAAGCCAGGCGGGAAACCACTCCTGCTGCTGCAGGCAGCACGACTGCACCAATTGAACAAGTAGTGGCCCCACTGGACTTTTCATGCACATAGCCGGTTTGGTGGGTTTAAAGAGTGTAGGGTGCTGGAAGGAAATCCAAAACCAAAGGCCGAAATAAATCTCTTCATGCTGGCTAGATAGCTCATATTTGACGAACGATAGTTACAGCATCGTTTCCATGATTACCACATTCCATCTGTACAAACGCAACAGCAAACTCAAAAGCAATTTCAGCCCGAAGTCGCCACACCCTGACCCTATGCCTCAATTTCTGCTGTCTGAGAGCCCGACCGAGGAGGACCCAGTTGTAGTCTCCTCCCGCCCTCAGGCAAGGGTGCCAACAGAACCATGCATCGGGACTGCTGATGAAATAGGGCTGTCAGGGCACGGGGCTTACGATTCAAAAGTCAGGGTTTGCGGGCAGGGCTCAACAATGAAAACAATGTCCGCCTGTGGCGGCGATTGTTGCGCACACACCAACATGAGCCATTGCATAGAAACGGCTCTGAAGTGAACCCCAGCTGGCGATCGGTGGACGATGGCAGTTACAGAGTTCAGGCCGATCGGGGTATAGGTGTCAAGGAATTCCTCCTCCCGAAACAAAGCCGAATCATCTTGCATCTACTACAAGGATGCAACCTTCAAGGGCAGATGTCAAAAGTATCGAAAGCCCAGGTGCGTTCGCACAGAGTCCACCGCAACGTCAAGCTGGCCGCGACACAAAGGGTTAGGGATGACGTTTCAACCGGCCAAAGATGGCCAAAGCCAATGTGCCCTTGTTTCCGGAGGTTTGCTACAGTACTCTGCAGTTTTACATGCCATGAAAGTCCTGAGTTTCGGAATAGCCCGTTCAACCCGTTCAGCCCGACAACCCAACGACCGTGCACCCTACTCGGCTCGAGGTTTAAACAGTTGGGTATGCTGCACGGTTGCAGTCGGTATTCCGTCCTGGAGATCGACATGAAAACCTTAAATTACGCTTCAAGCCAGGCCTTGATATCCCCCAAATTCGCACGACAAACCGTTTGCCTGGGGCAAATCGGTTTCGGCATCAGCATCCCCCAACTCCTTGCAAGATGTGGCCAGCAAGACTTGAACGCAAAGTAATCCTCTTCTGCCCCAGAAAACGAACTTGGACTGACCCATGCGGTATGATCAAAATCATACCTGGGTTAGCAAGCTAGAGCCATCTTTTCATCTTTTCCTCTTCACCTTTTCGATCTTACCCGACTTGTTTTTCGATCTTGTCCGGCGTGCACTCAGCACTTTTGCTTGCTGGCCCCCTGCTGTTTCACTTGTTTTACCTTACCTGGTACACACACAGCTGCCCCTTGAAGGGGCAACGCGCTTTCCAGGTGTGCCTGTTCAAAAATGAGCAACATGCACTCTACACATTCCAACATTCGCAAACGGCACTCATGACATGATGCTGCGCAGAGACTACACGATGCAACATCGGCAAATCTCATTCACGATATGAAGTTGCAGAAAATGCACTACACGTTCTTGCATTTGTTATCTGGTTGTTGTAGAGCGTGCATGAGCAGGGGAGAATTCAGAGAGACAGGACGGTAAAATGGAGGGGTTATGAACACACGTGCAACAAACGAGTCACAAACGATTGGAGATGCGCCCCCCTGGCTTTCGTGGTACATGCATGACTAAGAGAGACTTTATTTAAGGAGTCAGGACGGTGAAATGTGAGGGTGATGAGCACGCACGCAAAGAGTACACTACGAGTGGACAAGTGCGCACACTTTTTTGCATCTTCCTCCTTGTTTTGATGTGCGAAAATGGGAGTTCGCCGCAACCCCCATATCGCGTTTTTTTAAGGTCGAGAGCTTCGCAAGCAAAGCCGCAGCCACTCTCTCCCGCTTACATTCGCATTGCATGTAGCAGAGCACAGTTCACGTATGCTGCTGTCACTCTCCAAACGCATGTTGTGTAGTAGGAAACATGTTCCACGTATGCTGCTGTCATTCTCCAACGCAAGCTGTATAGTTGGAAAGCATATTTCATGTTTGCTGCTGTCATTCTTCAACGCCAGCTGTATAATCGACGATGTTGTGTATTTAGGAGCACGAGTAGACACTGTCCCGACATCTTTCAGCATTTATGTAGGAGAGTATTTTTGGAGCATCTGTTGTGCTCATCCAACTGGCCACCGAGCTTAATTATGTTACTTCGAACATCCCCACCCTACACATAATGCATTTCGGGGCCACACCACTGACTGGCGTTACAGTCGTGGCGTCCCCGGTCACGTAACAAAACACAAGTGTTCGATTCACGTCATTCGACGACCCATGGGGTCACACCATCGGCTGGCGACACGGACATGGGGACCCCGTGCACGTAACAAAATACGTGTTCGATTCAGTTTACGATCGTGGGGTCCCCGGTCACGTAACAATGCGATTCGGGTCAGTCGACGCAGGTCAGTCGACAATCCATGCGGGTACACACCACTGACTGGCATTTAGGTTTCTGGGTCGCCGGGTTGGACACTCCATGGAGTGTTGGGTTGGGCACTCCAGGGAGTCTCACGGCAGTTTCTGGAAGTAGTTTCAGCGGGCGAGGAGCGCACGAGGAGCGGGTGGGAGGAATAGCTGATTTTCAAATCTAACAATCCCACACCGAGGGTGGGGCCTCACGACTGGCACTATGTCAGTTATCCAGCCGAAGTACACACTTGGATTGACACATGCGGTATGATCGGAATCATACATGGGTTAACAAGCTAGAATCATCTTCTCATCTTTTCCTTTTCACCTTTTCGATCTTGCCAGACTTGCTTTTCGATGTTGTCCGGCTCGCACTTTCTGATCTTTGCATAATTTCGCAGGTACGTTTACAGGAGAGGACAGGTAAGTGAGGTGCGCAGTCTGAATTGGCCAGCGCACACACTCATCTTACCTGCCTCTCTGCTGGCCCCCATCTGCTTGACTTACTTTATCCCTTAGCTTCGGTACACACACACACACACGGAGATGGTGGATGCAAAATGAACACGGTATACTGCCGTTCCATCTGCATCCTGCATCACCTTAGTGTCGGTAACCTGCGGCACTTCAGAACCAATGGCTTTCAGGACAGTAGGCTTTCGGACGCAAACTTTCCGTAAATGCAGAAATCCGTCAGTCATAGGCCAATACGAAACAACAGCAGAACTAGGGGTGCATTTGGGGCAGCCGTTCAACTCGAAGCAGATACACAGAGCTGGCCAAGCTCTGCTTCCCATGAGATCAGGTAGCTTCGTTGGACGTGGTCCCTGATCTCATGCCAGGCCCCTGCGGATATGAATTCTGATTGCAGCTCGCGGCAGCTCTTGCCCGAAGACCTTGAGCGTAGAATCAAGGCTCCCGCGCACACACACACACACATCCGCGTTTCTTCACAGCCACCTAGAGCTCCCAACCTCGCCTCTTCACAAATTGGCCCACATGTGTACTGTACCCAGCCAGGAACACGGAGATGCGGCTGCCGGACAGAGCGACAGAACCCACTTTCCAACAAACACTTCAAGCACTATGGGACAAAACAGAACGAAGCCGGCTGACAGCGATGACCTAACAAATCCTACCAACTCACACATCTACGTAAAGACGCCGCATGGGTAACTCCTCCAACTCAGCTTCCATCTGCTTCTGCTGCTCCAGGGCAAGGGAGGCCATGTACTCCTTCCACAACCATGCAGAGGGGAGGGGAAGAAAGGGAGGAAGGGAGGGGGGAAGTGAGGAAAAGAGAAAAGGAGAAACGGAGCGAGAGAGCATCCTCGACTGAGATCTGACTCTTGCCGGAATCCGAGACCGCTCCGTCGACAACGGCTAGACCTCGAGCCGCAAACAAAGAATGAAAGATTCCAAGGTGGGGCGGTGGGGTGTGTTATTTTGCGTTTGAGCCAGGACTGGCCGAGCCGCCTAGCCTGAAGGAGAATCCTGCTGAAGCGAATCAGGTGCTGAAGCTCATCGTTCAGTGACACCAAAGAAACTACGAGGCTTCCCGGCTGCCTGCCCGCTCGAAGCACGATGTGCTTGGGCAGTTGTATTGCGGATTATTTAGGTGTCAACGCGATTGTAGCATGATGAGCAGCCAGAAAGTTCTGAATCCTAGTGATTGTGGGCTTCAGTGCATTGTGTTGAGCTCGGCACGCAACAGCTCGGAGATGAGATCTGAGAGCTCCAGTTCCTCCAAGCTGTGTGCCTCCAGATTGGCAGTAGGCTCACTGGAGAGATGCTCAGGACAGCTACCCCACCTCGCGGCGAAAAGTGATGCTGCACACGCTGCGAACCTGGCGTGCTGCGGAGGACAAACCTGCTCTCGAACTTCGCGCAGTTAATTGAGCCGATTGCTTCTCAAAAGTTTGGGGCAGGCATGTGGCATGAACTACGGTCATCAATTCCTAAAAGGCTGCGATACTGCAACTCCTTTCGTCGGCATCATCATGCATCAAAGAAGTGTACTGTCCGGGGCACCGACATGTGCATCAGCCTTTTTCTGCTGAGCATTCCACTTGCCACGCCTGGCACGCCACAAAGTCGCATAAAAGCATTGCAGTGAGATTAGTCGTGCTGGTGACATTTTGGGCCTTGGCTCTCGGGCAGTTTGTATATACCCGATATCGTGCCAGCCCCAAACCCTTCGACCCACGCAGGAACCGTGCAGACAGCATGCCCTGAAAATCCGGCAGGCCTCACGGCCGAGACCTTCGGGCCGACCTGTGTGGTCGTATCCGGCAAGTAAGCAATGCAAAAGTTCACAGACGACAAATTGAGCCCGGTACCCAGTGGATGAAGATATACCTTGAGCGAAGGTTCAATGGATGTGCAAAGAGTTCAAATCTGAGACAGGTACTCGACAGGAATATCTTGTCGCCATAGCTTCCCATCCCCATTACTCAAAGTGTCTTCGCTCCCAGAGCCTGAAGCCTGAAGCCCTTCATGATAGCTTCGGCTTTGTCACGGTGGTGCCAGTAGTAGAGCGGTCAATCGGCCCGAAAGTCCAGCATCAAAATCCCCAAGTGCCAGCTTTCCGAGAGTAGTTTGTCCTAACCTGTTTGCCTGTCTATCCAAAACTCAAACTAGCGACCTGGCACGATCCCGAGCCCTTATATAATAAACATTGCTGGTCCAGACGCTTGACAACTGCTGGCGTTGCCGTCATGCCCTTGGCAAGCACAGAATGCTGCGCAAGACATGGCGACAAGGCATGTGCCTTCGGACCTGTAAGTTTGGTGTCATATCCTGCATGCTCTATGCATCCGAGAGTGCTACATGGTCATCCACGCTCCCGCTTAATCAACAGAATACTTGCTCCGAAACTCAGTCCTGAGCCACAGTCCAAGGTCCCAACATCCACACTGGGCTTAGCTTTAGGCTCGCATGCTGGGCCCTGACTGAGCCCCAAACCTCAAACCCTGTCACCTCGAACCCTACACAAGCCCTTCTGCCAAGGAGCCTCCATCGTGGACGCGACGGTGTCACGCCCGAA